GCCCACAATCAGAGGCAGCATCAGATACGGGTAATTAGGGTATCGGGGGAACGCGAATGGTTGAAAACGTGACAGCGGTAAGGACAAGTGACACCAGCTCCCAAGTCGCCACTCATTCGACGTGACCCCTCTCCGCATTCAAGTTCGAAGTGGCCGAAATTTTGCGAGAGATGATAATCGCGTGAGTTGCAAACTGCTTGAATCACAGTTTACTCATTCCGTTTATTAGTAAGTGCAGTAGCCTTCCCCCTCCATATTTGGTACTAGGCGGAGTGAAGAGCCACTCAGGGAGCACGCGAGCCGCGTGAATCGGTTTATTAGCAGGTGCAATGACATTTCTCCTCCCATATTTGACGCTGAAACGTAGTTTTGGCAGAGCCATTAACCATTCGGTGAGCATGCAGGCGACCTCTCTGCAGCGCCAGCATCGGTGGGTCAGATAGTCGAGTAGTCATCACGTCAACCTCGATCAGGAATGATGAAATCGCGGCGATGAACGACTCGAATGCAGACCATCAAGTAAGTCTTGCTCCAAGGGCAACCATCCGCGATAAAGGGGGCAGCCGTTTATTTCTATAAGTGTGTAGTAGCATTGCAACTGCCTCCTATAAATACGAAAACCCCCTGTGCGCGAATTACCCGTATCTTATGCTGTCTCTGGTGTTGGGTTCTAACATGAGTCTGAGACATCGGGCTACTAAAATTCTTTTCCCAACGATGGCGTCTGCTTCTCAAATGTCTTCTTGGACTCTAATTTTCGTTGGCATATACAATACTGTGGCATTCAGGAGTATCCTTTTCTACCGAACCAAAGGAAAAGTAATAAAATAACAATAAATACAGGCGAGAGAATATGCAGGTCAGCGCAAAGAAAATGCAATGCTTTAGTGGCCCCCATCATATGAGAAATGAGAGATTGGGCGATATACTAGGACGGGGATATACGAACAGAGAACTTTCACCAAGAAAAGTTTCAAATAATAAGATATCAGAGAAATTGGGCGGCCTATAAAATTTTGAATTGACTTACATTACTTGATTAATGAATCGGTATCAGATTAGCCTACTGGGCGGACGCACAGTGTGTGACCGATCTCATGAAATGTTAGCCAAAATTCTAAAATGCGTTTCCGAGTAGGAAGGATTACTTAAGTGGGATTGTAATATTGATAAGCTTGCAGCATAATCCCATAGTATTTCGGACTTGCCAGGATGTCAGCCTTTGAATGCACTACTTTTGGCCTCCTGCAGAAACCACATTCGGTAAAAAATGACTACTTAAGCAACTTGCATTTTCCTACCGATTTCCGATGGTCCTATAAATTCACATATATTTTATAGAAAACATACACAAAATATGCTTCCTTCTACTCATTTAGCAGAAAATCACATCGTCTTCATATTTTGTACCCGAAGAAAGTGCACATTTAGGTTTAAAAAGTTTAAAATTATGAGATTTTTAAGGCCGTGCGATGTCCATGTATACAGGGCCGCACATGTACGTCTACCAATGTTCCTCATGCAATGTACAACACAGTCCGGATCCATTGGGAAATTTTATGAACTCTATATGTTTTCTTCTTAAAGGCATAGAGAAATACATGATTTTGTTTACGCGAAAATCATACGCCTTGTAGACTGAAATCGCTAAATGCTACGCAATGCCAGATCAGGCTCAAAATTATTCGGGAATTGAGAAAGTCTTTTAAAACCTAATCATACATTTTTTGGGTGTAAAATATGAAGACAATGTGATTTTTTATCAAAGAAGTAAAAAAACATATTTTTTGCATGTTTTATATAAAATATATTTGAATTTGCAAGACTATCAAAAATCAACAAAAATGCATGCTACTAAAACAGTCATTTTTTTACCGAGTGTGGTTTCCGCAGGCGGTCAAAAAGAAGTGCATTTGAAAGCCGACATCCTGGCGAGTCCGAAATACTATAGGATTATGATGCATGCTTATTTATATTACAATCCCCTCTAGGTAATCCTTCCTAATCGAAAACGCATTTCAGACTTTCGACTAACATTTCATGAGATCGGTCACGCACCGTAAGCAACTATTTTAAGCTAGAGGACTGGTGTATACTTCGATAAGACGACAAATGACAAGCGCGGCAGCCGATACGGCCACATAAAAGTCACATCTGTTGGGAAAAGGGGGGATTTACGCTGGCAAGACAAGGTAAGGCGAGTTCGATTAGAAAAGCAGTTTGGAAATATTGTGCTCCACAAACAACCAGTTTAAAAACCATACAATCCTCAGTTTGCAACATTTCACGCAGGCGTAGTCACAAACTCAGTACAGAACGTATGTACACATAAACAGTTTCGAGTATATCATTGTGGTTATGTTGTGTGTGCACAAGGGACCTATTCATTAAGCAGAGAGGAGATTTTTTCTTTAGAGGCATCCATATTTCTACTGATTGCCAAAAAAATTAAGTTTGAATATGTTAAATAATTCATCGCCGTTCAAAGGCACTTTGGGCGAATTTGAACGCATACAGAGTTGGCATAGGCCAGAAGTAAAAAACCTCAATTGTCCTAATCGTTTGTTCCCCTTCAAAGTCCATCTTTGCTTTGAATAACAAAATGCCGCGTCCACCGTTCTCAAAAGTTTGTTCCACTCTTCTGCAAGAACCCTTTGCGCCATTTTGAGATTTAAATTTCTTGCACTCTAATTTTGCAACGGCATCAGGCCACTTGACTTTTGTTACACTTTTTAGGCCGACCGTTAGTTACCCTCGCGGTTGAAATTTTGAGCAAAAAAATAGGCCAGGGTCCTTCGTGACTCGAGAAGTTGGGCAAAAAGTCGGCCAGCAATGTGCGAGGGTTTAACTTCAGAGGTTCCGTTATATTCTCCTTCCAAGTTACTTAAAATGACGGAAACAACACAAAAATGCAATTTCTTAGCGTTTCTTAAGAGTCTGTATACCCGAAACGGGGTTTTTATTTGTGCTGCATACAGTCAGTGAGCGTGCTCATGGGATGTTAGCATCA